TCACACCTCATCAACTATCACTATTGAGTTTTGTTTTTTAACATTTAATTCATAACTTAGGAGACTTCAGACCAGAAAATTAAAATATTAGACTTGGTTTGGTTCTTTTAAAATGTAATTTTAGAAATAATAATTAAAAGAATGGAGTTTTCTAACATAGAAGTAAATATTAAAAACTTTTCAAAATAATAAAAAAACAAATTTCCCTAAAAAGTATTTCTATAAAAGCGTCTAATTTAAACAACGACAAAAAAATAATTTAGTCATTTCTAAACAAAAAAGAAGAAAAAAAATGCCAAGACAAACAAGGCCTTGGTGATTTGTAACTAAAGGCTATATTTGAGGAACAATTATTACGTCCTCTGACCTGACGTAGAGGAACGTCCGGTCGAAAGACAAATCGCGCCAAAAAAACGAGAAATACCGAGCAATACCAAAGAATAACAAGGAATACCATCACGTGAAGACCCAATACCGAGTTATACCGAGCTATACCGAGCAATTAATACCGAGTTATACAAAAGTTGTACCGAGTTTTTCCTAGAAAAAACTCGGTACAACTCTGTATTGCTAGGTATAGCTCGGTATTGGTCTTCACAGAGTGGTATTCCTCGTTATTATCAAATAATACCTAGCAATACCGAGCAAATACCGAGTTTTTTGACGTGATTTTGCCTCCGACCGGACGTTCCTCTACGTCCTTACACCGGACCTAATAAAAGTTCATATTTGAGACTGTTTTTTATTGCTTTTTGAAGGCTATTTTTAGTATAAAAATTAAAATTTTTATAATAGAAAACTTTTTCAAGAAGCAGTAAAAAAGTTGTCCCAAACGAAACCTAAAACGTTAAATTCATTTGATCACGTGGCATGCATGATTATATCACTGTATGCTATCATTGGTTTGTCTTATTGTGTTATTTTTCTTTATACATTTTGAATGACTACTCCTTAGTACCATCGTTATTGGTTTGTCTTATTATTTTTCGTTATCACGGTATGACTATTATTGGTTTGTCTTGTTTTTTAATGCTAAATTCAATGTTTGAGAATTTATAATGAAAAAAATATTATTTGTTATGCGTCACTAAAGCAAAACCCTCAAATCAAATCAAGTAAGAATCTTGACAATTTCCTAAGTAAAAACAAAACCCTCAAATCAAGTAAGATTATTGAATGAACATAAATATGCAAATTAAAATTATTTGTCTTTTTAGGATAATTGACTATTCAAAATTTTAATTTCAACAAATTTATTGTTGAATGAACATCTCAATAAGATGAACTTAACGTTACCAAATATATTTTCATTTCAATCTAAATGGAACTTGTTGCATGCTAGAGTATTCGCGGCGGTAGAGAAATGTGAAGTTTAGCGTCTCTGTATTGTACGAAGATCCAGCACGCGTACAGATAAAAAAAAGTGCGCGTCATTCACAAGAGACACCAGAATTTTTACGTGGAAACCCCTGAAAAAGGGGGAAAAATCACGGGGTCTAGCCCAGTTTGAAAGAATCCACTAGTATTTGCAGTTGATTACAAATGAGGCCCTTCTTAGGGAGAAGACCTTGGCTTCACGGTACAAATGAACATCATATAGAGCGCATTACATGGTGGGAGTTACAATAATCAACATATATATATTTGTTTGGTCAGCAGGACCATAGTTAATAAGATAGAAGTCAGAAAGACCGTAGTTGGTAGAAGATCAGTGTCAGAAATACCGTTGTTTGGTGATGGATGTCGGAATGATCACAGTAGGCGACAGAGGTCGAAAGGACGTAGTCGGCAAGAGACCGGGATCTGAAAGACCGTTATCTGATGATAGAGGTCAAAATGACCATAGTGGGCGACGGAGGTTGTAAGGACCATAGTCGGCATGAGACAGGAGTCCAAAAGATCATAGTTGGCATGAGACTGGGGTCTAAAAGACATTTGTCTAGTGATGGAGGTCGGAATGACCATAGTAGGCAACGAAGGTAGAAAAAAGCATAGTCGGCAGGAGAAAGGAGTATGAAAGATCATAGGCTGCAAGAGACTGGGTCTGAAAGACCGTTGTCTGGTGATGGAGGTCGGATTGATCATAGAAGGCAACGGAGGTCGAAAGGACCATAGTCGGCAAGAGATAGAAGTTTGAAAAACCGTAGTTGGCAGGAGACAGGGGTATGAAAGACTGTGGTATAGTGATGGAGGTCAGAATGATCATAGTAAGCGACGAAGGTTGAAAAGATCGTAGTTGGCAGGAGATAGGAGTCCGAAAGATCGTAGTTGGCAGGAGACTAGGGCTTGAAAGATCGTTGTAATAGGGCGGTACTCTGGTATAACTCTAGGCATAAGGTGGTGGCCCAATATAACTTTGGGCCTCGAGTGATGGTCTGGTAGAAGTTTAGACCTCAAGTGATGGTCCGGTAGAGCTCAGAGCCTCAACTGGTGGTCCAGCAGAGGTAAGGGCCTCATGTGGTGGTCCGACAGAGCTCAGGGCTTTAAGTGGTGGTCCGGAGAGCAAAGATATCAAGCGGTGGTCTGGCGGAGGTGAGGGCCTCAAGTGATGGTCCGACAGAAGTCCAGGCCTTAGGTGGTGGTCCGGCGATGAAATGACGTCAGGCGGTGGTTCGACGGAGGAGAGGGCCTCAAGTGATGGTTTGGCAAAAGTTCAGGCCTTAGGTGGTTGTTCTGGCGAAGCAACGACGTCAGGTGGTGGTTCGGTGGAGGAGAGGGCCTTAAGTGATGGTCCGGCATAATTCTGAGCCTTAGGTGGTGGTCCGGTGAAGCAATGACGTCAAGTGGTGGTTCGACGGAGGAGAGGGCCTCAAGTGGTTGTCCGACGGAGGAGATGCCCTCAAGTGGTGGTCCAGCAGAGCAACGACATTAGGCGGTGGTCCAGCGGAAGTCCGGCGGTGGCCAAGGAGGAGCAAGGATGCAAGAGCGATCTCCGATCTCTCTCTTGCTCTCTTGTTTGGAGGTCTCTTCTTCTCTTCCTGCTTTGGTCCCCCTTTTCAAGATGAATGAGGGGTCTATTTATAGATTTATGGAGTGGCATGGCCAGTAAATAGGTGAGAGATCAAGGGTAATTGGAGAGTGGTTGGATGGACGGCCGATATTGAATCCCTTGATTGTGTACCGTTCTTCAGACATTTGAAGTTCTTAATGATGTCGAAATTCGACGATCTTGGCCTCGTTGGATTTGTCTCATCGAGCCACTCGATTCGACTATAAGGATGTTATGTTTGGAAATCGTTTGGTAACCCAAATTGTGGTTTGAGTCTCCTTGATTTGGACCCGTTTGGGCTCGAATTGGGTTGGATTTGGTATCGTTGGGTTCGTATTTCCGAGACATTCAGTTTGACTATAAGTTTGCTGAAATTGAAGTTCAAATGGTCCCAATTTTAATTTCAGAATTTTCCAACTTAATTTTGCATCGAAATTCGTGCCCATCAAGATATTTTTTGATGATGTATCAGAACTAAATTAAAAATTCTAAATTATATTTGAAAACTTTAAAATATTATTTGAGAGAGTTAAACGGTATTTAAATCTTATAATATTATAAAACAAATGAGTATCTAGACCAGACAAATTTAATGAGTTTAAATCAACCAATATAAGTATCACGAAGGCATTAAGAGGTAGAAAAAAAATTAAATGTTGTATTATAAAATTGATCATTATAGATTGTCTAATAGAGTATTATAAATTTAAATTAAAAACGACCAGAATATCCCTCTCTAGAGCTATGTCTGTCACTTCATATCATCGATAATTTTATTTATAAAACATTTATGATAAATTTCCATATATTACCATCAAATATATTGCATTTACATATTTAACACAAGAATTTTTCATTTGTATAGTTAACTGTTTTGATGAAATCATTGCCAGAGAGTTGAGACGATATATCTCCAAAAAGTCATAATAGGCTTAGCACGATAGTGAAGGGGGAGTTAGGAGCAGTGCTGAAAGGCAAGGAATTTGCAACAACAGTAAAGGGTGGTGAGTTAGGTTTCGTTTGGGGCGGTTTATTACTGCTTCTTAAAGCAATATTTTAGTACAAAAATTTTAAAGCAATAATAAAGTCGTCCCAAATGAAATCTTAGTGGTGACATAATCTCATTGAGAGAAACGTGCACTGTCAAAAGATGACAGTGCACATGCCTCTCTCTATTTTAGGCTCAAATTTTTTGATCAAAATGGAGAATGATATATGTTACTCATTTCATTGAGAAGTGTTAAATTGGAAAGATATACAAAGCTATATCATAAAATACAAGACTGCATTTTCTTATCTATTTCTGATTAAATGTAGGACTTAGTCTTGACTCTTGATTTTATATTGGGTCTTCTGTGAGTAGGGGTGTAAGAAAATGACTCGACTCAGACTTGAAATGAAAAATTCGAATTTGGGTTGAGTTGTTACGCTCATGTGGGCAGGTCGCATTGCGGGAGCGGAAGCGGAGCCAAGGCACAGTTGAGTGGGTCGCTTGGCCTAGGCTTAGCAACCGTGGTAGAGCAAATTGTGGGGTGTTGATCACATGAGCATAGGCATAGGCCAAACGCGATCGGGAACTATGGAGACCTGCGTACAAACGGGTTGCGGGGCAAGATCAGATTTGACCCATCAGGCGTTGGAGCAAGAACTTATTAGTCAATTTATTATGATAAGTGTAGCGAAAGAAATGTTTCTAATTAGTAACTTATTGTTTTATAATTCTTTAATTAGAATTGACTAGCTTATGATTTTTGTTCCACAAATTTGAATTCCTATTTTTAATAACTCAATTTGAAAAAAAAATATCCCTAATCAATTGCAGATTTTAAAAGTCATTACTGACAACAATAAAGAGACATCATGTGAACCTGAGATAATAAAATAACATAAGAATTTTTTTTTTTTTGGGAAAAACATAAGAATTTCAGTTAGGGTATACCGACACAGGTCGTCTTGTTCTAATTAATCTCTATAAATTGAAATGGTGCAAGGCCATGTGGGCATATCTTCCTCCCAAGGCTTATAGAATCTCTCTCTCTCTCTCTCTCTCTCTCTCTCTCTCTCTCTCTCGTCCTTACACATTTCTCAGGTCTTCAAATTAACAGAACAATGGATGCGTTAACTCAATATCTTCTTTGGTCGGCCTTCTTCGCAGCTCTCACCATAATTTTTCTAAGACGTCGATCGACGACAGAGTTAAATCTTCCTCCAGGGCCAAGATCGCTTCCTATGTTGGGCAACCTACTCGAGCTAGGCCAAAATCCCCACCGCTCTCTGGCCCGCCTTGCCCGAACTCATGGACCAGTCATGTCTCTCAAGCTTGGCAGCATCCACACAGTCGTCATCTCCTCACCAAGCTCCGCAAAAGAAATCCTAAAAACAAAAGAGCACTCCATCTCCGGCCGACAAGTCCCTCAGGCCATTCAAGCCTCCGGCCACCACCAGGTCTCTGTAGTATGGTTGTCTCGAAACCAATCATGGAGATACCTCCACACCCTCATGAAGACCCATCTATTCAACGCGCAGTCTCTCAACGCCACCGAGGAGCTTCGCCGGCAAAAGGTTCAAGAACTTGTCGCATATATCAAGGGGAAGAATGAGGAGGCCGTGCACATTGCCCGGGCGGCGTTTTGCACTGTGCTCAATCTGATATCAACCACCTTTTTGTCGATTGATATCGTAGATTTGAAATCTGAATCAGCTCAAGAGTTGAAGGATGTGATGCAGGGGATAATGGAAGAGGCGGGGAAACCGAACATCTCTGACTACTTCACTTTCTTGGCTCCAATTGACTTGCAAGGCCGGGGACGTCGATTTACAGCATACTTTAATAAATTATATGATTTTTTCGATCAAATGATAGAAAACCGATTGGCAGATACAACTGGAGAAGTTATAAGGACTAATCCTGACATTTTGGATCTGCTTCTACAACTAAGTCGAGAAGACAATTCAAAGCTTACTAGACGAACCATAAAATCCTTCTTGTTGGTAATTATTAATCATGCACAATAAATTTCCTAATTTGCATTATATATTTAGGGGCTGTTTGGTAGCATGATATATACCCAAACAACATGATATATAAGAGGATTTACAAGAATGTTACCGGACAGTTTTTAGGATTTAAGCACCTCAGGATTTTCGAAATCCGAATTTAGAGATTATGAAATTCTACTTTAATAAAATCCGTGTTGATACCAAACAGCCCCTAAAAGTGAAGTAAATTTCTTTTAAAATTTTGTCAGGATTCTTTTGCCGCTGGAAGCGAAACAAGCTCGTCGATACTGGAATGGGCGATGGCAGAATTGCTTCGCAGGCCAGAACTGATGAAGAGGGCTAGAGAAGAGATCATAACTGTCGTCGGGTTCGATAGAGAGATTGAAGAGGCCGACATCTCAAAACTACCGCTCCTCCAAGCAATTCTGAAGGAGACGCTCCGGCTTCATCCACCGTTTCCACTTCTACTGCCTCATAAAGCAGAGGAAAGCACAGAGATAAATGGCTACATGGTCCCGAAGAACACTCAGTTGCTGGTAAATGTGTGGGCGATAGGTCGAGATGAGCAGGTCTGGGAGAAGCCAGACTGCTTTATGCCTGAGAGGTTTATGGAAGGAAGCAACGTAGATTTTCGAGGGCAGCACTTTGAGCTAATACCATTTGGTTCAGGACGGCGAATCTGTCCTGGACTGCCTTTGGGCGTTCGGATGGTTCAGCTCATGCTGGCCTCACTCATTCAGTCCTTTGAATGGAGTTTGCCGGACGGAATGAAGCCTAATGATTTGAATCTCAACGAGCGGTTTGGTATCACACTTACCTTGGCTTCTCCACTCAAGGCTTTGGCTACTCCTGTCAGAAAAATGCTGTAGTTAACTTAATCTCAGCCTTGCATATCAGGGCTTGTAATATCTAAGCTTCCTTCAATGGCTGTATCATCACTAGCTTGTAATATCTAAGCTTCCTTCAATTATTACAACGTCATTAAAGTGACGTTGAGCTCAATATCAAACATTATAATTTTTATATGAAATGCTCCTATTGATTAAAGTACTATTTGACTATGTGTTGGTTGTTTAATTCAGTTGCATGTCTTAATTAATTTTATATAAATGATTACTCCATATAAGTGCTATCTATTTGACTATGATCCAGCACACACATAGATAAAGAGAGAGGGTGCATCATTTAGAGGAGACACCAAGATTTTTACGTGAAAACCCTTTAAAATGGGGAAAAACCACAGGGCCTAGACCAGTTTGAATGAATACACTAGTATTCGCAGTTGATTACAAATGAGGCCCTTCCTTAGGGGAAGGTCATAGCTTGATCTACATCTTATAGAGTACATTACATTATGAGAATACAAAGAATCCAACTTGATGTGTTTGTTTGGTTTGAAGGACTGTAGTCGGTGGACGACGTATGTCGGAAGGACCGTAGTCGACGGGCGACAGAGGTCGGAAAGACTATAGTTAATGGGCGATGTAAGTTAGAAGAACCGTAGTCGGCAGGCGACGTAAGTCAGAAAGATCAAAGTCGGCGGGTGACGGAGGTCGAAAGGACTGTAGTCGGCGGGCGACGTAAGTCAAAAGGGCTGTAGTTGGCAGGCGACGAAGGTCGAAAGGACTGTAGCCGGTGGGCGACATAAGTCTGAAGGACCGTTGTCTGCGAGTGACAGAGATCACAAGGACTGTAGTCGACGGGCGACATAAGTTGGAAGGACCGTTGTCTATGGGTGACAATGGTCAGAAGGACTGTGGTCGGAGGGCGACATAAGTTGGAAGGGCCGTAGTCGGTGGGGAATGGAGGTCGAAAGAACTGTAGTCAGTGGGTAACGTAAGTTAGAAGGACCGTAGTCGGTAGGTGACGGAGGTCGGAAGGACTGTAGTCCGTGGGCGATGTAAGTCAGAGGAACCGATGTCTGACGATGAAGGTCTGAAAGATGGCGTCATGTAGAAATATTTCCGGCGGATTATTTTGCCGAAAATCCGCCGTAAATATTTTCGGCGGAATATTTTGCGTTGGAACTCTTTTTCCGACGCACGTTTTACCTTCGGAAAAAAATCCGTCGGAAATCCGCCAGTAATACTAATTTCTAACAGATTTGGGGCATTTTCTGACGGATTTTGGGTGCCGGTAACACGCGATTTTCCTTTTGGCTAGTTGGCAACCTTAGATTGTGATTCTACTTAGCGGTGATGGCAGTTGGTTGGCTTTTTGGTGGTCTTTTGCTCTTTCACTCCCTTGGATGGTCCGTGCCCAGATTTGGAGTGGTTCGTAGTCTGTGCTTTTACTGAGCCTGATGGCCGTTGTGCCTTCTTTTCGTTGTTTTTTCAGTGTACCCTTTGTATCATTTTTTTTTTGTTTTGGCTGCCTCGGGTGTGTGGCTTGCCTGTTTTTGTCTTAGCTGTAACTTTTGTGTCTTTTTTTGAATAAAATTTATTATTAAAAAGAAACTTGGATTTGGCCTATATATGAGTATTCTCTCTTTGCTTTTTCTAACAGCTTAATAATGTCATGCTATCATTGAATAAGATTTTAATGTTTGTACCATGTCTAAGGATACCTTCATTTATCTTATTTGAAATTTCATTGAGGAATATACCAAAGTGGCTCTTGTTAACATTGGTAATGATAAGACCTGTCGATCTAATGGCTTCACGTACGTACATGATTTTCAAGAACAATTGGCACATCATTGGTCCATCCTTTATTAAGATGGCTAAATATTTCTTTTCCCTTTCCAAGCTTCCTAACCTTGTGAAGAACTAAACTATTAGTTTGATTGCCAAAAATCTACATGCTGAAACTTTAAATGAAACATGCTGAAACTTTAAATGACAATCAACCTATCTCACTCGGCAAATTCCCTCCATGAAATAATAAAGAGTAATTTGTCTCCCGCTATGTATTTTTTGGTCTTTATTATAAGAGTTTTTAGGTAATTGCACCTCTCCTAAAAGTTTTAAAATACTATGGTATTTAGGCAAATATTGCCCCAACAGAATTAAATACATTGCGTATAGATGTTATTGTTAGAGAACAATTAACCAAATACAAGGAGAAATAGTAAAAAGAATTCAAAAATATCCATACAACCAAAATTTGTTCCAGGGGCGTGCCCCCAGAAATTCCCATAGATGTGCTGCCTCTTGATCCCGCGAACTGACTAGGCAGGTCGAACCCATACAGGAGTCGCTGCCTCCTTGGACCCCTGATATATCTGCGAAGCATACAATGATGAACAAATAGGGGTCGAGAGATAGTGCCCTCGGAACAATTTTTTATTGTAAGGATATTTATGAAAAAAAAATTCTACACTTTTGCTTATCCATTTTCTCCCTTAAAAATTAAGGCCGGATCTACCCCTGCTTAAAAGATTATGGTAACACTCATTATGAATAAGCTCAAGCTTTTGCTTGAAAAGCAAATTCATCATGTCCATTATGCTTTTACTTGTGGTAGTGATTTTACTAATAACGACATACTTGCTAATGAAATACTTTACGGGTTCAATTTTTCAAGCACTCGAAGACAATTTTGCTCGAGATTGATTTGAAAAAAGATTTTAATAATATGAATTGTCAATTTCCTTACAGTAAATTGAGAGAATTTCGTTTTCTTAAAAAATTTATTATAATGATTATTAAATATATATTAAATGTTCACTTTTGAGCGGTGATTAATGGAGAGCTAAGAATTTATCTCAACTCTACAAATGGCCTTCACTCTACTCTAAATACTTTCAGGGATTCTACAGACCTTTCTGCTAATTTGGACTGATATGCTCTATTTATTTCTCCAAAATCATTGATGAGACATTTTAGGATCATAGAGTCGCCAAAAAATATGTTGGAGAATTTTTATATCCTCAAACGGATTGCATATTTTATAATCGAGTACGGCATAAGAATGTGATATATTACCCAGGAGGATAAAAATGTCATTTCCTTATGGCAAGAAGCATAACATGGTAAGAAGCATAACATGGTATTTAATTTGAGAGCAATTTGCATGCTAAGCATCTAAGGTGTAGGATTTCATTGAGGTTGACATTTGGTTCCTCGTGATGTTTTCAACTATATTTCGAGTGAATAATTTGAAATCAATTGGACTTAGATAAAAACACTTTTAGCGACATTAGAATTTTTATTTTGACTATGTCGAAATTCAAGCTCAAACGATTTTGAATTTAATTCTAAAAATTTATGTTTCAACTTTCAAATATTGGATTAAAATTCATATTTGATTGGATGAATTTTTTTATGATGTAGTAAATTTATTTTAAGATAAATGTAATATTAAATTAAATTTGTTATTCTTATATTATACCATAATAAAATAAATTAGCTATTTTAAAAGGTATTTTGTTCAAATTTCAATTAGATCGCCCCTACTAATAAATTTGTCTTTCGTAGCATTTTTTCTTGACCAACTGCAGCAGTTAAAACACTTGTGAATTTTCTTAGTGTTTTAGAAGGTATGCAAATGACTTTTTCAGTATTCTTTGAACCACTGTGTTATATTCAGTTTTTGATAGTAGTAGCTTTAGTAGCGATTTTAACCGTGGAAATATCGTTGCCATATTACAGAATTGTAGAGATTAAAACCGATGCTAAGGAGTGGAACATGTGAAAAAAATATAATATCCAAAAATTAAATTTTATAATCAAATTATAAAAATTATAATGCAAGTGGATGCTCGCCGAATGAACTTGGAGCGGACGAAGTAGCAAATTGAAGGAGAGAATGAACTGGATCTAGTGCAAGGACTGACCTCCATTAACCTCGGATTCGCCAACTAGGGTGAATTAATAATAAAAAATAATTATTATTTTAATTTTCTTATTTGATAGTAAATTTAATAATTATAATGTTTCTATAACTTTTTATTTTGTTGATAAATATATAAATTAAATTACTATATTTATTAGGAGAATTTCGGTTTTAGTTTATATGATAATATTTCTTATTAATTCTGTATAAGTATCTTAATATTTAATTATTTTATGATAAATTTATAAATAAGTTTAATTATTAGTTTTGTATTGTTTGTAAACAGAAATCGGTAAGATTCAGAATGGCAACCACGGCTACACGGTTGTGAGGCAGCACCGGTGTGTGTTGCACAGCTAGCCGGAGTTTTCTGCAGACCGGTGCAGACGGACGTTTGGACGCCGGACGTTGATTCGGCGTGGAAGCCGGAGGCGAGCGGCTGTTCTTGTCCAAGAAGACGGCTGGCGACGGGTGTAGCGAAGAGGCAATCCAGTTGGCTTCTTGCATGGATTGTGTCCGCAAGAGGTTTCGTAGAAGGGTCGCCGGAGGTGATCGGGTTCGGTCGTGCACGGCTGATCGGAGCAGCTTGGTTTGACCGAAAAAATTAAGTCATGCGGAGAAGGCCTTGATTCGGCGGCAGAGCTGCCGGCCGGAGGGAAGCCGTACGTGGCTTCAGCTGCTGCTTGATGCCGTGATTTGAAGGCAGCCGGCGTGCAAGCAAGTAGTCCATCGAAGTTGGCTGCTGGATTCAGTTAGCCGTGGTTGACGAAGGCGTTGGCTTCTTGATCGACATCAGCCGGTGCGGCTGGCGTGAGCACAGCCGTCAAGAGCTGGGTTGCCGCAGACGGATCGGAAGGAGAGCCAGGAATCAGGCTCAGGCGGTTGATCTGCCTGATGGAGTGTTGAAACCCAGAACCTTGTCAGGTTCTTGTTCTTGAGGGAGAGCCGAGAACCTTTTCACACAAAAGGAAAGCAGGAAAAGAACAGAGGAAAGGTTATCTGTATTTCATTGTCTTTTTCTTATTACAGGGGTAGTATATATAGATAAAGTGAGATAAAGAAAGTACATCCTATTCTACCATTATACATGAAACCCAATAATATTGTGCCACGTGTGTTGTAAGTTAACAGCCCCCTTCAAGCTAATGGCTGCGTAGTGGCTGTCAGTTTGCTTGAGATTTGTTTAAACCGTTGTGTTGGTAAAGCTTTGGTGAGTATATCTGCTAGTTGATCGTTGGTGCAAATATGATGAACTGAAATCTGCTTTTTCTTGA